TTCAGATCTGTACCAGTGTTCTAAATCAAACCAGTATTTGGCAGGGTCCAGAGAAAACCAAAGAATAAAGTTCCAAAATTACTACCAAATTACTACATTCACTAAACACACACACTACATTCACTAAACACACTCTGCACTACACACACACTTCATTTACTAAACACACTCTGCACTACAAACACACTACATTCACTAAACACACTCTGCACTACACACACACTTCATTTACTAAACACACTCTGCACTACACACACTACATTCACTAAACACACTCTGCACTACATTCACTAAACACACTGCACTATACACACTGCATTCACTATACACACGTTGCACTCACTCCAAACACACTACATTTACTAAACACGCTTTGCACTCACTACAAACACTGCATTCACTATACACACTCTGCATTCACCACAATCACACTACATTCACATACACATTTTGCATTCACTACAATCACACTACATGAACTATACACATTTTGCATTCACTACAATCACACTACACGACCTATACACATTTTGCATTCACTACCTACAATCACTATACATACTTTGCACTCGCTGCAAACACACTACATTCACTATACACATATTGCATTCACCACAATCACACTACATGCACTATACACACTTTGCACTCACTACAAAAATACACACTGCATTCACTGTACACACACTACATCCACACAAAAAAACACACACTCTCCATTCACCGTAGACACACTACATCCACTACAAAAACACACACTCTGCATTCACTATACACACCTACATTCACTGTACATACACTCTGCATCTAATGCATGCATACAAACACTATACATACATCCACTATACACACTGCATCCATGGAACTCATTCTACATCCACTATACACACACACACTTCATCCTTGTGGGCGGACTCGGGGCTGGCCCAGGGGGCCCAGATCTTGAGCTGTGTCAGGAGCCCTAAAATTTCTGATGGCGGGTTTGGCAGATTTTTATTGAATTCATAAATGGCAATAGAGAGGCAAAGACTCTGTTTTGTAAAACTGTTGTACTTATTATTTACTTATAATTCCTATAAAATTTAAACAGAATGTGACTTTATTTCTTAACTCATTTTAGATGAAATTCGGACAGGGAAAACAAGGTCTCTTTTCCACCCAGAACAGCTTATAAGTGGCAAGGAAGATGCAGCAAATAACTATGCCCGCGGCCATTACACCATCGGAAAGCATATGATAGACAACGTTATGGATTATATCAGGAAAACGGCAAGTAAATATTTTATTTTTAAGACTGGAATACTGTTCATTAACTCAGTGATTTGTAGATTTTGTTTTTATATATGGATAGAATGTGAGAAACAATCTCTGTAGCTAGAGAGGCTTATGGTGACATGAGTGTCCTGGTACACCCATTTAGGTAGTCAAACTGTTTTTAGGACAGTGTTCTAAACCTTCTTACCTTGGGTCTGCCTGGCACCAATCACTGCCTGCAGCCAGGAGAGTCGGAAGTTCCTGCCTAGGAGCCTCTGCAGACTTTCACGGACAAAGTTCTGCAATGCAGAGCCATCTCAATGGCTGCTGAAAGCATTAGCTGGCCGCTCTCCAACAATGTGTTGTACCCTGCACTTTGGGGGTTGGCTTATACAGAGAATCTCCAGCTAGAGAGGAGGAGTGGAAAGCAAAATGAAAAGTTCCTGTGTCAGAATTTCTGTGATTTCACTAAAAGAAATGTAAATAAATTGATTGGATGCAGTCTTCTTTTATTAACACACTTCTAAATCTAGTATTTTTATGGCAGTGTGTGTGACAGTATTTTTTTTTTTTTTTACATTCTTTATTTATATAATGCAGTGATATACATGCAAGCTCGGAATAACATGTCAGCATGGTTTATAAAGTATGAATAATGAAGAAATAACATGACGTGTTGAGAATTCTGCATATTTTAAGTAATTAGATTATTGTAAAAACTGGTAAGTAGCCCACCTCAACTAAATGGCATCATTTATCAATAAAACATGAATTGAGCAGTGGACTTTGAAAATTACAAGAAAATATCACCACTGGCTTGCACAAGCACCTTACATAATCTATAATAAGTAAAAAGAAAATGAGTGAGAATACCAATATGATTGTAGCCTAACACAGAGGACAAGATCTATCACATTGAGCAAGTAAAATAGATTTTGCTGTAGAGGACCCGAGCTTAGCCAATGCCTATGGAAGGGAGGCTGCCAAGACAGAAGTGTTCACCGTGCCGTGAGTCGTGACCCACCATCCACTGACACTGATGCACTCCAGGATCTCGTTCCTGGGCTTCAGGAAAAGTTCACTACCCAGCTTCTGGCCAGTGGTTCTTTCCCATGCACAAACTAGGCCTTGCTTAACAGGAATCCTATGACAGCTCACATTGCGCTTGTAGATTCGGCCCCCTTCTGGGTGCTGTGTTGGAAAACGTCAGGGAGAGAAATAGAACCTCAGGTGAGTAGTTCCCAGCCTCTGTCTCACTCTCTGCTTCTGCCGTGTCTGCGAGAGAATGTTGCTTGACAGAGTGAGCATCTGATCGGATGAACCACATGAAGGTGCAGCTAGTTTCCGCGAGTGGAGGTATATGTTCTTCCAGAATGTCGCCCATATTTCGTCTAAGGCTAGGTATGTGGCAGTATTTTTATTGCACGTAAAAATCATTAAATTCTTCTTACATGGAGACAATTCATTACCTTTATAATTTATTTATTTTTTTAACTAATAATGGGTTAATTCCCCATAGTAATGTTTAATGATGCTCTATAGCAGTGGTTCCCAAGATAGTCCTCAAGTACCCCCTACCAGTACAGTCCAGGATTTGGGAATTGCCCAGTTCTGTGCAAGGCAAGCATTTCAAACTCGCGGCCCACAGACAGCATGAAACCCACAATTAATATCTTAGTGCCCCGTCGAGCCGTGAGTTTGAGACTTGCTAACTAAGGCAGAGTAGGCCTACTCTGCTCAAATTTACCCAGCCGGGGTGGAGAGGTCCCTGGCAGCAGCGAGGGAGCTCAGTCTTCCTGCTCCTCTCTGCTCGCGTTCTCTGTTGTGATGCCGGGTGCCAGAATATTACATCATTCCGGCACCCGGCATCACTAAACTGCGTGCGTGAGTGAGCAGTGAGGAGCAGGAAGATTGAGCTCCCAAGAGAAGAGGCCCCACACCAGCTCCCAAAGGTAGGGAGCAATAAAGAAAATTATGTTAGTGTGTGCAAGAGTGTGGAAATGTGTGTGTCTGTCTGTCAGTGAGTGTCTGTCAGTGTGTGTGTGTGTGTATAATTGCAATATATAGGGTTTGTCCAGATAGGGGAGACAAGAATGATACAACATAGTGCAACACTGTGTAACCCAATATGGTGTTTGTTTAGGCCAGGGCCGGATTAAGAGCCCAGTTGGCCTGGTGCTGACAATTATGATGGGGCCTAATTACAGAATTTTATCGACCAACACCAACACTAAAACAGTCATACCTCTCAAGCGTCATGTATCTGATGGAGTTGGTGTTGGAGGGAAACTCAAAGGATGCAGCTATAAGAAAACACATACTCTATGCTAATCTCTTTATCTAATTTATGCTTTCATCTTTCAAGTAAATCCATACCAACAGCAGTGTCCAATGAAGCAGGAAGCCAATTGGCAGGGTAAAAGAGTAGGCCACTGATGCGAATCACATGACCAGAACTGCCAAAAGGGGCGAACATGCCCAAAAAGGGGGTATGTCTGTTCAAAGAATTGGAAGGCCAGCTTGGCATCAGTGTCCCTATGCATCACATTGTCAGTGTCCCCATGCCGTCCAGTCCCCTAGTCTCCCAATATCTGTGTGCCCATTTCTCTGTGTCCCCATGTCTCAGTGTGTCCCATGTCACTAGGATACTAGGGGACACTGGGAGACATGGGGACACTGTGAGAAATGGGGGCACTGAGACACTTGGGGACACTGGGATACATGGGTGCACTTGTGGATACAGACATGGGTACACTGAGACATGGAGACACTGGGAGACATGGGGACACAGAGATTTGGGTACACTGGGAGAAATGGGGTCACAGACACTAGGGACACAGAGACATGGGGATGCAGACACTGGCAGACATGGGGACACAGACACTGGGAGACATGGGGACACTGAGACACTAGGGACACTGGCTGGGAGACATAGGGACACTGGGAGACATGGGGACACAGACATGTGGGGACACTGGGAGCCATGGAGACACTGAGAGCCATGGGGACACAGACACTAGGGACACTGGCTGGGAGGCATGGGGACACTGGGAGACATGGAGACACTGTGTCCCTAGTGTCTCCGTGTCCCAATGTGTCTACCTATGTCTCACAGCAACCCCATGTGTCTGTGTCCCCATGTGTCTCCTAGTGTCCCCACGTCTCTCTGCAGGCTGGGTGCTGCTGTCTGGACTTTCTGTGCTGTGTATCTGCTCCCCCGCGGATCAGTGAGTAGAGAGAGGCGGGGAGGGATATGCTGTAACTTCCTGTCCCTGTCTCTCTCCATACACAGTGACCCCTACTGGCCGGTGCTGGTATTGCAGACTAATATCTGTTTATACTGAGAAAAATGTTTGCATTTGTATTGCCGGTATTACTGCAATACCATCACGGCCAGGCAGCCTCAAATACAGTCTGTGCCTTAAAATACCAGTCAAATGGCAAACCTAAGAGTAGTGTGTTAAAAAAAAAAAAAAATGGGCATATTCCATGGGCCTGGGCCTGGTCCTGGGCCTGGTGCTGCAGCTCCATCAGCACCTATGTTAATCCGGCCCTGGTTTAGGTGCCAATTGGCCACTCACACTTTGGAGCCAAATAAAGAGCCTTCAGAAATCTTTGGATATATATCTTCTGAATTCCTGGATTTTATTGATGTAGGTCTCATTCATGTAAAATAGATAAAGTGCAGCCAAATAAGATAAATATAGGAATAAAGTGCACAATGCAAAAATTATTTACTTACACAGATGTAAAAGACAGCTGACATTAAGAGATTCACAAGATAAAGTATTTTATCTTGTGAATCTCTTTATGTCAGCTGTCTTTTACTTCTGTGTAAGTAAATAAATTTTAGCATTGTGCACTTTGTTCCTTTTAGTTATCTTATTTGGCTGCACTTTATCTATTTTACGTGAATGAGACCTACATCAATAAAATCTAGGAATTCAGAAGATATATATATCCAAAGATTTCTGAAGGCTCTTTATTTGGCTCCAAAATTTGAGTGGCCAACTGGCACCTAAATTTACACCATTTTGTATCATTCTTGTCTACCCTTGCTGGACAAACCGTATATATTGCAATTAGACTGATTGAAGATTTGAGGAGATTGGGTAACCCCATTTCTAGAAGGGTAGTTAAGTGTTTTAATATATGTACTTTAGGTCACTTAAGCAATTTGTTATCTTAAAAATGAGTGCAATTACACTTCTATACACTTTATTTTACCTAAGCACTTTATTTGTGTGATATTGGGAAAGATTCTGTTTCTGTTTCTTCTTGTTAAGTGAGTGAGTGTTTGTCTGTCAGTGAGTGTGTGTGTGTCTGTCAGTGTGTGTTGGTCAGAGTTGCGATGGGCACAGCAGGACAGTGGAGGACCTGGAGGTGCACAGAGGCACGCAACGCCAAGTCACATTCCGACGTGACGTCAACGTTCTCAACCTTCACAATTTTTCAACGAGTAGCGAGAGGATCCGCTTTGGCACAGTGTGTGGACGGAGCCATTGGGGGTATACTCCAGTGTCGTATACTGGCAGTGGCAATGTGAGTGGAGTCTGCTTGTTGGCTAATAATGTTTTTTTTTTTTTCTTATTTATAAACAAGGGCCGTGGTTTAGTAAAGGCGTGTGCTGGGATTTGGTATGGGGGAGGGATACTGGGACTTAGTATAGGGGGACTGGGATTTAGTATAGAGGGGACTGGCATTTAGTATAGAGGGGGGACTGGCATTTAGTAAAGAGTGGGGGGACTGGTATTTAGTATAGAGTGGGGGGATTATATATGGTAATTGATTTTACCATATATAATTGATTTTACATTATAATAATGGACACCTTAAGTCTTTTTAGAATGTATTGGACATTTCTGACATGAGTAACAGTACAACATTGAAGTCTGTACAAGAGCTTTCATAGAATCTGTGATGCACAAGAAAAGAAGCCTATTCAACAGCTCTGGAAACTGATAAAACTTGACAATGACTTTACCATAAAAAACAGCCTCTTCTGTTTCTTTTGATATTTTTTGATTATGTTGGAATTTCAACAATTCCAAAGCAGTAAGTATTTCTGTTTTATAAAGATTCTATCTTTATGAAATACTCAAAAGGGACAGAGCCTAGTTAAGACAGGTGCAATATGGTTTACTGTTAGTCTGTTTCTTTCCTTGCAAACAAACTGTATTATAGGGACCTCTAGTGATGAAATATTAGAGTACAGCCCATACACATATTCAATTAATAATCCTAACCGAATATTTTATTTGTTTTGCTCTGCCAGAGAATCTTGTATAGTAGACTCTCATATGTTGTTAATTATGCAAATAATAACATAATAGTATGAATATTGTGTACACCTTAGGGACAGCAGTCCTCTGTACAGCATAAGCCTCTCGGAAAGCTAATGTGCCCCATTCTTGGCAGGTCCTCTACTAGCAACCTAACGTCTGCTCTTATGAGATTAATCCACCTACTTTGGAAATGCTTCCTCCTGGGACTCTCTGCAGTACAATAGGGTCCTGGGGTGCAAAACTGGGGAGTTAGTCTGGACTTCCCAAGAAAATAAATATACAAGTTGTGGTAGGCAGATTTATGCAATCTATGATCATATTCTGTAACAAACCCTCATTATTTTTTCCTTGACTAGATGTTTAAAACAAACAAACTACTACCTTCTTCGAGAAGCAATTGCCTGATATAAAATTAAAAATGAAAAGCACTAATATTCCCTCATACTCCCTGCACCAACTGTAGAGATCTTGGTATATGGAACCCTACATCTAGAGCTTTAGCCACCGAAGCTCCCCTTGGAACTCTTATGCTGTCATCCACACAAACAAAACATAAATTATAGTATAGATCTAGTACTAAATCTGATAAATTATTACAATCTGCAAAAATAATTCCTATCTGCAACTTTTTGAGGGATTTAGGGCATGTTTATGTAAAACACCTAGATCCTATTTATTGCCTATGACTGTTTCTCACACGTAAGTAAAACCCCAAAATATCAATGTCCACTACAATCCATTTAATTCAATTTGTATCTGTTTTACACAGGCCAGTCAGTGTGGAGGACTTCAAGGATTTCTTGTTTTCCACAGTCTTGGTGGTGGCACCGGTTCTGGGTTTAGTTCTCTATTAATGGAAAAGCTGTCTGTGGATTACGTGAAAAAATCCATTCTGGAATTCTCCATTTACCCAGCACCTAGAATATCTTCTGGAGTTGTAGAGCCCTATAACTCAATATTGACCACTCACAGCACATTAGAATATTCAAATTGTGCTTTTATGGTGGACAATGAAGCCATTTATGAACTCTGTCACCGTAATTTGAGCATTGAACGCCCTTCATATGTGAATCTAAATAGGCTTATAGGACAGATAGTGTCTTCTATTACTGCATCACTGAGGTTTGATGGAATCCTTAATGTTGATCTAGTTGAATTTCAAACCAATCTAGTGCCTTACCCTAGAATTCACTTTCCACTTGTCACATATTCACCAATCATATCTGTGGAGAAAGCTTACCATGAACAGTTATCTGTGCCAGATATTACAAACAGTTGCTTTGAAGCCAGTAACCAGATGGTGAAATGTGACCCTCAACATGGTAAATATATGGCATGTTGTCTCTTATACCGAGGAGATGTAATGTCAATAGATGTCAATGCAGCAATAATGGCTATCAAAACTAGGAGGAATATTCAGTTTGTAGATTGGTGTCCTACTGGGTTTAAGGTTGGAATAAACCATCAACCTCCAACTGTGGTTCCAGGGGGTGATTTGGCTAAAGTCCAGCGTGCTGTATGTATGTTAAGTAACACCACTGCCATTGCAGAAGCTTGGGCTAGACTAGATCATAAGTTTGACTTGATGTATACCAAGAGAGCATTTGTACATTGGTATGTTGGAGAGGGAATGGAGGAAGGAGAGTTTTCTGAGGCAAGAGAGGATATGGCTGCCTTAGAAAAGGATTATGAAGAAGTGGGAGGAGAAATAAATGATGGCATAGATGATGATGATGATAACATAAATTGTTGACCTCCATTTTCCTTAATAAGATCCCCAAACTCTAAAAACATTAAAGCGAAATCAGTTGACATGATATACATAGGAAGTTCAATGTATATAGTTTTTAGTTTAATATACAAGTCAAAATATTAAGCTTTGCTATATGAATCCATTATATTTTCTCTTGCTTTTTTCACTTAGTGGAGTGAAATAGACAACCCTTTAATTTGACAAGTGATTTATTTCTTATTCTATAAATACATTCTGTACATGGGGTAAGTGTTTATCATTCATTGAGAAAAATTAACCATTTGATATCACAGTCATACCATCTGATATAATCAGACAAAGCCAATAAATCTTTGAATATTTGTCAAAGGTTATGTATAAAAAAAATCAGATTTTTTGAACACTTTCTCTTTGTATTACAGAAATAATGTAGTTTTTGTATGCAGTGTCAAATAAACGTATACCAAAACGTATTTTTTATTTTAGTTTAATTTGGTTTTTTTGTGAATATAGAGCATCGGACTGCTACATATTAGCAAACATTAAAGGTGCCAGGTTGCCCTACTATATTAGATGGTATTTGGGCATTAGTCTTTACAAATACACATGTCTGAGAACTCTTTAAAGATATTTCTGAAGCTATAGAAGGATATTGGCAAAATGGAACACCTGGCATAGCGAGCAAACATAACGTCCGAGGTAAAGCATTTCTAAGTATTGACTCGCAACCATGAGAGAACTGGCAGATATCACGTGAGTCATAGAATATGAGATGCATTGTTACATCTGATAGGTTTTCTTTGGTACAGTTTTAAAGCTGTTTTGGTTGTCCATACCAAAAATTCTTTTTTAATGGCTTGGGAATTGTAATCAACCCTGGTAAGTGTAGAAACTTCTTGGCGGCTCCTGAAAAGACATTTCCACTTGAGGATTCACTGGTTGACCCTGCAATTGAGATGCATGTTAAAGCCAGTAATAGGAACTTGCTGTATTTTTAATATAAACACTGAAATATTTGACACTTTTTCCCTACAATTAACTGTGCTTTTTTTTTTGTTATTACCCCAAAATCTAAATTCATGTAATGCAACCCCTGTGCAGTATCTTTAAAGAACATGTATACGAGAAGCTCGTTGCATCTCCTGGCTTATTCTTGCTAGATAAAGGCGACTATCTTTAGCTCCACTTAAATGTTAAGACCATGCCTGATTTGAAAGGTATGATCTTTATTAGAGTGCATTTCAGTCTTCTTCCAACCATAGAGGACTTGCATTATAAAAAAAAAAAAATCAAGGTATTTCCAAGTCCACTACACTTCCAGTTTAACTATATTGGTCTAATATTTTGAATTCCTGACATGTCTCATTTACAGAGACCTTGTCATGCCGACCTTACTTTTCTCCTATTGTTCCCTCTTCTCTTCCTCTATCAGAATCTGTTCTTTTTTTCTTTATTTCTAAACTAGTTTTCTTTAGAACATAAGATAAAGTAGGGACTACTTTGTCTTATACGTCTTTTTCCTACACTTAACCTTCTTTGACCAAAGGAAGAGCTTAAGTTGCTCCATTTCCTGTGTCAGAGAGTAGTCATCCTTCTCTGTGACATGCCGTCGTCAGGAGCAAGTGAAATGAGACTTGACTTGCTCGATCTTAAATACTCGGTTAGTCTGCTACCTTGTTTCCAGCTGAATAGAAAACGGCATCCAATCAGAGCGATGGGAAGGAAAGGGGGAGGTACCCCGGTAGACACACCGAAACGCGCATCAAGCTTTTTCTCATTTTAGTTATAACTTTGATAGCACATTATGCTTTTTTGGTTTGATTAGTTATTTAATTCTATAAGTTTTATTTTTAACAGGCAGGGATTGGGTACTAGGTAGGTACCTTTGGATCCCCCATGGTACTGAGGTATTTGTTAGGGTTTAGTCATTTTTTTTGTTTTACTACCCTGAACTGACTTTACCTTATCTGGGGGTTGTACAGATATTATTGCCTAGGATACCTAATTTTAGCTCATGGGAGTTTAGGAGTGTGGTATAGGTGTTTTGTTTTTTTCAGGGGTATATATGGGGTATGCCCCCACCCTCAGGGTCCCACTCCCGCCGGGCTGAAGGGGGTTAAACACTCGCCTTTCTCCAGCGCCGGGCTCCCTCTGCGCTGGGGACTCTCCTCCCTCTTCTGATGTCATCGGCTGAATACGCATTCAGCCAGTCCATAGGAAATATTCTCAATGCTTTCCTACGGATGCTGGCGTCTTTTCACTGTGAAAATGAGACAGCCACTAGAGGCTGGATTAACCCTAAAGTAAACATAGCAGTTTCTCTGAAACTGCTATGTTTACAGCAGGCAGGGTTAATCCTAGATGGACCTGGCACCCAGACCACTTCATTAAGCTCAAGTGGTCTGGGTGCCTATAATGGTCCTTTATCTCCTCACTTACCGACCGATTCGTTCTATGACCGGGTTGTACAAACGGAACCCAGTCGGTAAGTGAGAAGTATCTGTATTATATATATTATAAAATAATTAAAGCATTTTTTAATATATTATAGATATATAATGCATGTATATGATTTAATTATAAGTGTACTTTGAGATATATACACATCTCAAAATACACTTATAATGAAATCATATATATGTATAATATATTATAAAATGCTTTAATTATGATATATTATACATATATAGGAAATAAAAGTGTGTGTGTGTGTAGCCTATAGATCAGGTTAGTGAGGGATGGGGGGGAGGCAGCCTATAGATCAGGTTAGTGAGGGATGGGGGGGAGGCAGCATATAGATCAGGTTAGTGAGGGATTGGGGGAGGCAGCCTATAGATCAGGTTAGTGAGGATTGGGGGTGGCAGCCTATAGATCAGGTTAGTGAGGGATTGGGGGAGGCAGCCTATAGATCAGGTTGAGTGAGGGATTGGGGAGGCAGCCTATAGCCATAGATCAGGTTAGTGAGGATTGGGGAGGCAGCCTATCAGATTAGTGAGGGATTGAGGGGGCAGCCTCAGGTTAGTGAGGGATTGGGGAGGCAGCCTATAGATCAGGTTAGTGAGGGATTGGGGGAGGCCTATAGATCAGGTTAGTGAGGGATGGGGGGAGGCAGCCTATAGATCAGGTTAGTGAGGGATGATTCAGGTTAGTGAGGTGCAGGAGCAGAAAGGTGAAGGAAGAGAAATGAGCAGGAAGGGACAGCAAGGAGCACAAAAGGTAAAGTAGGAGAAGGGCACAAAGGAACAGAAATGAGCATGACGGGTCAGCAAGGAGAAGGAAGTGTCAGCAAGGAGCTGGAAGGTAAAGCAACACAGAGGTAAAATAGAAGGACCAGAAAGAGTCAGCAAGGAGCTGGAAAGGGCAGCATGGAGCATGAAGGGACAGGAGGAGCACAAAGGTAAAGTTTGAGAAGGAACAGAAATGAGCAAGAAGGAACACCAAGGAGCAGAAAGGGTGAGCAATGAGCTGGAAGGGGCAGAAGGAGCACAAGCGTAACGCAGGCGAAGGAGCAGAAACTAGCAGGAAGGGGCAGCAAGGAGCAAGAACGGTCTGCAAGGAGCAGGAAGGGTCTGCAGAGAGCACAAAGGAGCACAAAGGTAAAGGAGCAGAAAGGGACAGAAGGAGCACAAAGGTGGAGAAGGAGCAGAAAGGGACAGAAGGAGCACAAAGGTAAAGTAGGAGAAAAAGCAGAAAGGGTCTGCAAGGAGGAGACAGGGATCAGAAAGAGAAAGGAGCAGAAGGGCGAAAAATAAGCAGAAAGTAGCAGAAAGGTAAAGGAGCAGGAGGAGAGAAGACAGTGTCAGAAGAAAAAGACTGTGTCAAAAGAAGGAGAAGAAATGGAGATTAGAGCAGGAAGGACAAGTAAAGTGAACCCTCCACTTTATTCTGGACACCACATCATAAGGCTTCGGTACCTGGGCCTGCCAGGGAAACTTTGGACCTTCTCATCTCCCCAGGTAAAAAAACATCAGTGTTATTGTGTTCACTTACTGAGTGTCAGGAAGCACAGATTGCCGCTGGGTAGGGGTGTCGCTGATTGGCTAGATCAGTCAGCTAGCACTCTAATCCAATCAGTAGCTCCCCATTCATAAAAAAGTAAAACATTTTTATGAACTGGGAACTAGCGATTGGCTTAGAGCGTCAACTGACCACTCTAGCCAATCTGCAGCACCAATGCCTGACGTCAATCTGCACTTCCTGACACTCCGTTTCAGAAGCCGAATACCACTGAGCGACCTGGAGATCTGGAGCTGGAGGAGGTCTTTGGGGTTAAACCATTTGAGAGTGGTTTAACCCCTTAATGGAAAGAGAGCACCCAGGGGCTTCCTGGCATCATAGCATTTTCATTTAGATGAACTTGTTATGGTGACCAGAATGTTCATTTAATTTACTTAAAGGAAAACTATAGTGTCAGGAATACAAACATGTATTCCTGACACCATAGTTGTGAATACGCTATTTACCCTGGCTTTATGTGATAATGACTATGCCTCTTCCCTTTCATGACACTGTCAAAAAGGGACCAAGCATGGATGTCATTACAATTATGCCCCCCCCCTGGAAAAATTCCTGCGGACGCCTGTGGTGACAGGTTAGGCCCTGCTAGTTGCCAAGTGGCTTGAGAGGCTCAAACTATGCGTTGGCCTGAGGGGATTTTTGGCCACAAAATGTTGTGGCGGGGTGGTGGCCTCTGTGACAATTAAAGCAGAAGATAGTATGTGAGTGACAGGTGAGACCCTCTTTATGCCACCATGTGAGGCGAATATCTATATGTTGGACCGATGGGCGTATACCTCTGAGAATAAGAATGGGTGTTGGCCTCGCGGGACCACTAGCCTATGGCATAGAGGACGGAAAACATAAACTAGTTGGACACCTGGAGCCCTGAAAGCCAGTACTCTCCACTAAAAGGAATATGAACTCAGTAAATGTAAACATAGTCAGGGAGAATCTGAAATGATGAATAGTTGTATGAGTAAGGAGGGTTGAGGTAGTAACGTACGGCAACCTAAAGTATCCGA